TCGATCTTCTGGAGAGAATGCTTGTTTTTGATCCCAAGAAGAGGATCCGCGCCGGGGAAGCACTTGCGCACGAATACCTCTCTCCCTACCACGACCCTACCGATGAGCCCGAGGCCGAGGAGAAGTTCGATTGGTCGTTCAACGACGCCGACCTTCCTGTGGACACCTGGAAGATCATGATGTATGTTGAACCTCGGTGAATATTCTGTCTCGTTGACTGCTAACACTAGACGTGCAGGTACTCTGAGATCCTCGACTTCCACAACATCGACCAGGGTAATGACGCTGGTCAGGCGCTCATGGAAGGAGGCGTGGCTCAAGCACACCAGAACTTTGCCTAAGAGTGGTCACCATGTGCATTTGAAATGAAGCGCAGACAATTTTGTTTAATGAGACGATTTTCTTTTGGTCTGTGTAGACGGGGAACGAGCTTACGATTTGTCCATTTGAACCTACTTCATCCTTTTCATGTTTGTGTTCTCTCCCTTCAAAGCGGGCGTATGTACACGACCTGCAGTTCACCTCCTACTTGCTTCGTCCTGGCGTCGTTAAGAGTCGGAGGGTGTGGGAACTCAGATTGTTCATTCTTGCCTTATTCCTTTAGTGGTGTCTCCAGCACAGAGCCGTCCTATTGTCTGTTCTTATATACATACACACCGTTACGTTCACGAATCCCTCTTGGATGGAAATGTCTAATAACAATGTCGATGTTGATTGTTGGTCTAGTTGAAGATGATGGCCGGAGAAGATTCCTACAGGAGTTGCTAGGGCACAGGATGCGATCTGATTCTGTACTATTCCCCGGAACACAATGTTCCTACGTCTTAAGACATCGATATCATGTTTACTTTTTGTACGTAGAGAATTAAGTTCAGCAAAAATGCGCCCGCAACGAGGCATACCTCTGACGTAGTTTGAGGAAGCGATTTTACCCCGGAGCAACAGCTTGGATAATCGTGGCGGGGCCATGCCGAAATACACATCGCCGACTCAATTACCGCCCGCCCGCAGACTGTGATTCGTCTCCCCTGGTTGCACATCTTTAGCAGTCGAGGTGCGCGTATAAATCACTCTCGTTTTGCATGTATCATTTATCACTGCGGTATTCTATCCCAGTGTGACAGACGTTTCGTCACTTATTCGTTTCTTGCAGAGGTGGCCACGGTTTTCCAAAAGAGGATATAGCTTCGGACGTGTCAACGTCCAGATCCTCTGTCTAACCCCCGGCTTTGCATGACGCTTCGGCGGAATGTCTGATATTCGAGGCCGCCAGGGCCCCATTGTGATGGTGATTGATTTCCACCATGCGAGGTGAGTTCTCTCAAGGAACACAATGGAGACTGCTTTGTATCGTGTTCTGCTTGAACAGGAGAGCTGTGAGGGGCAGAAGAATGCGACGGGGTTAATTCCCTAGTGGTTATTGTCTGCGCCTTTCTTCCCTATATCTCACATTTGGTGCTTCTGGAAAGCTCTCTTATGGTTGAAGGTATCACCAGCTGACGGTTTCTGTCATCGAAAATAATAGGGGCCCGGAAATCGAACTGTGCATCGGAGAGGAGGACATCGATATCGCAGCAAAGAATGACTGGTCTCTTTTACCGTTCATGGCGTTGTCGGATGGGGCGCATGCGTACGAAGCCATCCTTCCCTTCCCCATTGCCCGTCACAAAGCGGACTCTTGCGATTGACTCGATATCTTCGGCGTACCAGATCTACCGAGGAATTCTCATACTTTACCCTACGCAAGAAGGAGACCGAGACGGCGCCGGCAACATCTCTGTTCGGAATCGCCTGCTCACGACAGCTCGACTCGAATCTGCTTGTCAACCGTCCTGCGGATGTGACTAGATCCACTGTACAAAAGGCCGTCGTCGTTATTACAGATACCCCTCAGAGTGTGGGACAACTGAGGGAGAAGCTCTCTGTCGTGACTTCGGCTTGGTTCGCGCAGCGGTACGTTGACAATACCCATGTTTGCGTTAAGTGATGGTTTTGGGTGCTAGGCACCTCGTTGAAAAAAGTCATGACTGATTGAATGTGTGATAACAGGGACTTCTCGGACATCGATATCCTGAAGGTTGGCTTGATGCTCGCATGGCGTCCAAAACCCACAAGTATGCTAACGCATGGGCTAGAAATTCCGTGAAGGACTCATAATCAGTTGGGAACAGAACGAAGCATCGAAAGATCAGAATCTTGGTAAAGACAGATTTGTTCCATGATGCTGACCGGAATGGGTAGCTAATTTGCGGAAAGGCCTCTCTTTGCGGGAGATGATACACGAGTTCAAGTACCAGACCCTTGTGTTGTTCAAAGCTCTACTTCTGCAGCCAAAGGTATGCAACGATCATGCTGCTTGTTGGCATATCTGACCTTATTCAGATGCTCTTCTTCGGCTCACGATGCGAACGTTTATGCATGATTCAGTTCTCACTTATCTCACTGATTCCGGGCCTGATCAATAGCCTTCAGGATTGTGCTGATCCGGCAGCTGATAGCTACGCGCAGACTGTGGGGAAGCCAACTTCCTTGAAGACGAGTGATAGAGCGTCCTGTATGTGACCATACGCCGCTCTTATGATAAACTAGGCTAATAGATAAAAGTGCTGGCATATATGGGTTTGCCATTGCAGATATTTGGAAAGGTTCGCTGCTACGCAGGACACAAGATCGAGCATCGCTAATACTGCGTTAGGGAAGCATGTTTGGGCCTTATACACCACTTCAGCAGCTGGACCTGCTGGCGGATCATGGGACGAAGTCGTACGTTGTTGGATCCACGAACTCGCTCCTTTTACAACAGAAAGATCGTTATAGCGACATATTGATTAATGTAAGTGATCAATTTCCATCGCCTGGAAGCTCCTTGTTCTGGCACTGACGTATTTCAGCTTGACGAGGACGTTATCACTATTTCGTCACCCTCTCTTCGAAGCGCACTGGTCCTATCCGCCGCCGACAGGCGCTGGATTGACCTCCTTACACAGATCATAAATGATACTTGGGATGAAACACATCCTCAGCGACCAAAGGATCATGGATACATGGGTTCGGAAGAATTCATCCGACTCCAATTCGAGGAGTATCTACTTGCTTTGCTGGCCTCCATGAAATACCACGAGGAGCTTCACTCTTTCGGTAATGGTGAATCTGGCCGGAGGAGCAGGGCGCAGTTGGAAGCATACAACATAGAGGGTGATCCGGCGTTGGATTTCAATCCGGATTTCCTGGCACACTGGCAGACTACTTCCAATTATGCCTTATTTAAACGCTTGACGTCCGACGCCCTTTTATTCTCAATCGTTGAGCCTCGTCATCCTTGCGCGGGTGGTCTCACCATAGAGGACATTCAACGACGGGTGTCGCAACAGGTCGCGGAGCTTCACCTGGACGAGCGGGTGCGTGAGGGCCGCGAGGCTCTGAACAGACATCTCGCAACCGGCCAGAAGAAAGTCAGCGCTGCATTCAACAGTTTTTGGGCAGATATCGAGTCGATGCGGGAAGCACAACGGAAGCGGAATGAGGAGAGAGCTCTTCAGTCGCAACGATCTTCGATGGACCAACCTCGGCCGTCCTCAGATACAGCGTCTGTCGCTTCAGCCACAAGCTCCTGGTTCGGTGGACGCAAGCCCCCCGCTGTGGACATTGCACAGGCGCAAGCATCCGTCAACGCAGTGAGTCAGAAAGCTGGCGCATATCTTAGTTCATGGAGCTCGTGGGCCAGCGAGAAACGCAAGGAATGGCAGGAAAAGAAGGCCACCCCATCGTCGCCGTCCTCTATCACCTCTCCTTCCACGCCTACATTGTCTAGTATAACCGAAGGTGATGACTCGGAAAGAGGCCGACGCCGCTCGATGCAGCAACAACGCCAAAGTGAAGATTCAGCTACCCTCTCACGCAGCGGGAGTCGACGGAAGAGATGGAGCAATATCCTTCTGAGACGGGAAAGCGGGGACTTTGGATTCCCCAACGCCAAAGAAGACGGCAGTCCGGACAGCAGCGAACATTGCCATCCATACCCAAAGTCGCCCTTGTCCTGCGAGACCTCGGCTGGCGAAGACGACGTTGCGCAGCCAACTCAGCCTAAATTCATCGATCCTTCCACTGAATCTCCAGTTGAGAAGGAGCCTGAGACATCCACAAATACTGATGTCGCCGAAAGTCATCAGCCTACAGACGAAAAGCTAGCAGAAGAATCAGCATCTCATCCGTCAAGTGATAAAGCACCGTCCGCCTCTGCCGAACCCACACCACTCAGCACATCGGCCTCCAATTCCAACTAGACCCTTACTCTTCAGCCCTGCATTCTCTTCTTGAGCATTGACAATACCGAGGCTCGACGATCGATGTTTATCAAGCGTAATGCCTTTGCATCATAACTTTTCTCTTGGCCAGAGCGCTTTTACCCTTTAATTTTCAATTCATACAAATATGACTATTCCTCATTTCCTTTTTTCTTTTTACCCTCCTGCGAGCTTGAATACCCAAGAGAACGGCGCTTGCATTGATGATAATCTACCCCTTACATACACCTGCATTGATACCATCTTACCTTCTGGATTTAATGAACTAAGCCACCTGCTTGTACATGCGTTTCTCCTTGGCCATTGTTTTGGTTTGTTGGCTCGCGGTACTGTACAAAATTTGTGATGATTGAATAGTGAAGCTGTGATGGACCTCATAGCCCAAGGAGGAATTGTACACCATACCTACCAACCCACGGTCACGTAATCTAGTACGCCTTTTTGGAGCATAATCTTTAGCGCCCATGGGAGAACATATTGATCGGAAGGCCAAAGAAGCAACCCATCTATTTAATCGTGGTCAGTTGGGTAATCATTGTCATATCTTCGCTATAGGAAGCAATACATCTCTTGTTCCTGCTAGTGATGAACCGGAGCCTGTGCCAAAGCGAAACCGGATGATTAAAAAGACAAATATCAGCGCTAAGATGAGGTGGGAGCAAAAGCAAAAGGTTGTGGCAAGCAAATGGTATAAAATCACGCAATGTAAGCGATCTCATCCCCGTCCAACCGCTCTATATAGTCCTTCTCCATGAGAGCTTCGATATTCTTTTTGATATCCTGCACCTTGGGAGGAAAGCGGGACTTGACCTGCTGAATGACCTCTTGTACGAGCTGTACGTGCTTCATCTTCTTGCGGGACTTCATAATGCGAACGATGGCAGACTGGACAACTCGATTAGCTGCGGACGAGGCGGAGGAAATATTGAGGAAACATACCTGGAGGAGCAATTTCCGGTCCTCCTCTATTGTCTTGTGGGTGTCATCTGACTCTACCTTCTGCTCTGATTTGATCTGAATGTTTAGATTGACCTTGATCTTCTTGTTCTTGAAGTTGTAATTCAGGGAGAATGAAGTTCCAGGTTCGGGTTTGGCTCCTTCAGGGCTTGGAAGGAGCACCTTCGCTTTCAGCAGGATTCCCAGATTGGGGTCGAGAATTTCGGGGGCGAGACTGGTGGCCTTCTGGATATCGGAATAGGTTAAGGTGTCATGCTCATTGAACAAGAGAAGGATACCCATTTGGAATGTCGACACTTGGAAAGTATACGGAACTTTCGTGTTCTTAATGTAATTTGCTTTGACTTCGCCCTTACACAGCTGCCAGAGCCAAGTCAGCTTTCGACCATTGTGTTTGTCATAGTAGAAACTCTGGAATCGCTCGTAAGTCTTGACGATTTCGGGTGGTGCAGAAAAGCCGGTTGTAGGTGGATTGAGTGGCCAGAACCCAGTTCCCAGAATCTGAAAGTGAGCATCGACTTGTTTCTTCCGATCGTCTTCGTCAAGAACCTTCTCCTGCCAGTCTTTGTAGTTGGAATTGAGATCTTTCGAAATCTGGATGTCCTGGAACATGCGCTGCAACTTGTTGGTGTATTCGAATCCGCAGGCTTCCTTCAGTTTGCTGATCATGCTAGTCTCCGCATCGTCGGATACCGAGCTGACGTGTACCAGCCGCTTAGCCAGCATCTTGGAGTAGAATTTCTGGAAAACGTCCTTGTCTTCGATGTATTTGAATACGGTCATGATCTGTACGAGCATCTCCTCCAACTCAGACTCCTCCGCAGCCTTTGAGCCCTTCTTCAGAAGAGAATCGGTGTATCGGGCCAGCAGCTCCGGCGATTTCGTTGAACTGGATTTGCAGACCTTGTTGCGGTTGACGAACTCGCGGCAGGCGTTATCCAAGGATCTCACAAACTCGGATTCACCGTTGAAAGCCTCATTGACAAGGTTCTGATACCTGGTGTGCACTTGTAAGAGCGCATCCACATACATCTTGGGTTCGAACGCTTCGCCCTCCGCCGCAACTTTCTCGACCGCAGCCAAGCCCGCTTTTCTGACATGAGTCTCAAACTTTGCCCGCAGAGGGTCCAACCCATCCTTGATTCGCGACAAAAGTCGGTACATTCGCGCTAGGTCATCTTGGCGCTCATTGTCTAGCAGAACTTGGAATTCATCCCGCAATAACTCGGAATGTGCTGTGACTAAGACATCAAGGCAAGTGTCCGTGAGACGCTTCATGATATCTGGATGCAGATACAGGCCCACACGGGCCTTCTCCTCGTCAAGGCGAGCCTCCGCCTTCTTCATGTACTCTACCACGCTGTTCTCAGCCACGAACTGGCGGGATTCATTCTCGTAGTAGACTCTGGTCGCAGCAATGAAGGGTTTCTCGAAGTATACTCTGTAAACCTCGAGCGTAGACTTGGTGCTATCATTCTCGTCCAGACCGAGAGACACAAAAGAATCTACGATGTTCTTGATTTGCGACTGCTCGATGGTTTCGCCGTTTCGTTGCTTTTCGATCAGATTTAACACGGCCTCCATGACCTTCTCATGGACCTTCAGGAAGAAATCGTCTTTCCATTTGACGAGGTGCAAAGTGTACACATCGTAGACATTCTTCTTGCCCTCGTCGATCTCCCTCTTCACCCAGTGGCGGTTAAGGTAACGGAAGAGGTGGTTGACATATTTGGCAGCAGTTGTGTAACGAATCCATTCACGAATGTAAAACCCTAACAAGGCTTCTTCGGTATGGCTTTGGGACTCTCTGTACACGGCCTCAAGGTGGCGTGACAAGTACTCCCCTAGTAGCTTGTATAACTCCTCGCCCAACAGGTGTGCTACAGTAGAAAAATCGTCAGAACAATGTCATCATAAGCCGACATACCGTTCGCATAGGGGACGAAAAGACAAACCACCACGATGCGCCTGTAATCCTTGCCCGTTGCTGACTGCCTTTTGTGATGTGCAAAAGTTGTGTACGGCGCTAAATCGCAGGGTTAGTCAACTCGGGTTCAAAAGGAGACGAGAACATCGGTTCGAGCATACGTGTACAGGGCCATGTACTACACCAGAACGTCGCGACAGTCAGCATCGTTTCACAGAAACACCTTGTTCTCAAAATGACGAGAGAGGACTGGTAAGAGATAAGGGCAGAGACATACGGTTTTCATATCTACACCCTCCTCCAGCTTTAGCATAACGCTGTCGATACCCTTCTCTAGGAATGTCCATCTACACGGATTAGCCCAGATTCCGAGTCATAGCCATATGAAGTGTATCTGAAAGGCGGTGGAGCTCGAGGTGTCGGTGTAGGCGAACTCACGTTTCGTCAAGGTCATCCTTGTGAGGAGTCTGGGGCATTAGAGGAGGCATAATGCTTCCTGGAGCTCAAAGATGGGAGGAGTTCGTCTTGAGATGACGAAGCAGTGAAGGTCAGCAGATGAGACAACGGTCACAGTCCAAAGCGATCAGTTGGCGACTACCGGAAGGGCAGAAGTGAAGTAGAATAGGAAAATCAAACCGGCAGACTGGAATGCTCACTTCGATCGCCAACGGACACTGTTTGAGCCTCGAGGCGTTAAATAAACGTGCGGCGGCAGACGGTGAGAGTGCCGGCGGTAATGCCTTGAAAGACCGTTCAGGAAAGGCGGCGTACGAGGCAAAATAATGAGGGTAGTAAAAGACAGCTGGAGGGCAGGCTGAACGGACCAACAGGCAAGCACTTGATAACACGACCAAGAGCAAGACACCGGAACAGAAAATCAGGTAACACGCGTTTTTGCGGAGAGATGAAGCAAGAGACCAGGCGTGGCGTTGGGCGATGGTGCAGACTCGCAGGCGTGGGGATGATGGATGCTACCTTAGCGGCAGGCGGTGAGCGAGCTGAGGCGCCTACGAGGCTAGGTGCCTGCTAGGCATTGATCTATCAACTTCAGCTCGACGACCCAGATTTCTCCTGATGAAAGAGACCTCTCAGGCATCAAGCACAGAGGATCCTCCAGAATCAAGATGCTAATATAAAAATCCAATTATAGAGACATCTTTGCGGACGTTGTTAGCTGCGCGGATGAGGCTGCGAGGCTTTGTCGAACTATTGAGAGTTTAAGACCTAGTACTTAGTACAACTTCTGGCTCCTGCTTACTGGATAGCTGGACTCTTCTGTAGCTACCTATACCTATACTATACAGATACATCTAAAAATCATATACTCTATGGGCATCCGCGCCATCCAGAAGACTCGAACCGTGGATTGTTTCCTGATAGACAGCTGATAGCATCACGGACTTGTAAGCCGGGATGACGTCATGTGTGGCCTCTATCAACAATTAAAATACTGAGCTTATGTCTTCTGCTTTTTCTTCAACATAACTATCATCTATAAGCTGGTCTTACCAGTGAGTCTCGAAATATAGTACAATGTCCTTCAAAACTCCATCCGAAATCCAGGTCACCTCGCGCCAAATTCCCAGGTGGGAAAGGATCCCAAACACCTCAATCCAATCAAAGCCCCTCATGATATATCACAAGGCGTTCAGCGCATCTCCCAGCCAGCTCACCGCGCACTTGGAGGAAGTTGGAGAGGTTACTCCCCAATGGGTTTATAGCATGTATAGCCAGACACACTTCCATAGCACGACCCATGAAGTTCTGGGGGTTGTCTCAGGACGTGCACGTCTCTGCTTCGGCGGGGAAGACAATCCGAATCGATTCGAAACGGATGTCGAAAAGGGCGATCTGATCATCGTCCCAGCAGGTGTTGGCCACCGCTTGTTGGATGAGCTCGACACTGGAGAAGAGCGGTTCAAAATGGTCGGTGCATATCCGAAGCAGAAGCAATGGGATATGTGCTATGGACAGTCGGGAGAGGAAGACAAGGTCAAGGGCATTAAAGACTTGGGCTGGTTCCATAAAGATCCTCTATTTGGAGACGATGGCCCTGTGTTGCATGTCTAATGCTAATTGCCTTGCGGGCCAAGGAGAGCTGGTCAGACCGTTGGTTGCGTTAGATCGTTAAATATTCCGCCGTATAGCGCTACATCCCATAAATCATGCAGGCTGCAGTGTACCAATAAGAAGATTAACTTTCCAACGTGATAGAACGAAATGAGAAAAAATACCTTAAATACCACAAGCAAAAGAAACATATCAAGCAAAAGTGAGACAGATAGGTTGAGTTCAGGGAGCAAAAGGAGCTCTGGGCGTAGCAAAGTTCGTTGACAAAAATACAAACAGAAAAGCGATGTGAAGCAAGAGGTTCACTGGGCAACCCGCTCAACGAGTCTGTTGTCAATGAAGACTGTCAGCACTGCGCATCTAGGAGATAATGGTGGTGCCCTACCTAAGAACACTTATTGCAAAGGTCATAAGCCAAGCCAACAGAGCAACCAGCAGGACACAGGCAAGTGCTATCTGTCTGTCGCATATCGCATCATTCTTCTCAGAAATATGCTGATTGATCTCTGCCAGCTTACACGCCCCACTGACCGTGGATAATGATTCGAATGCTATACTCAGGTTTGCAGAATCGAACACTATAAAAAATATATCCAGGAGAATCAGTCGAGCCTTTGCAGCTGGAGAGCGTAGACCCAGTGGTTTGGATGTGTATTCGTCCCAAGTGATGTAAACCAGATAGACGAGGGCGACCGCATCCACAATAATAGCCATCAAGGCGGACGGGCCTTGGGGGTGTTCGTACTTGTCTGAGAGATGCTGTATAGATCCTCCAAGGGCAAGGGCAGTAAGAGAGAAGCACCAGACGGTGAGCCGAAAGATCACAGGTACTATAGGGCTCTTCAACAAAGTGCTGTGGAAGCGCTTGAACCAGATCTCTCTGCGTCGCTTCATCTTGAGCGGATCCTCGGTATCTTCACTCGGCTCCAGTTGCCCTCGCCATGGCTGCGAGAAGTCGGTATGGTTCTGATTCAACCATTCAGGTGTTACCAACTTCTCTTCAAGGCCAGGTTCTAGAGGATAGGCGATTCCCTTTGAGAAAGATTTCCACCGGGATTCGCGACGAGGGCCTAAGCCGGTCTCTTCGTCAAAGCCTTGGTCTCTGGTATAGTCTGGTCTCGACGTCGCGTAAGGGGAGTGGTTATGTTGGGCAACGAGCGCGTCATCCGGTTGCGGAGGTAGTAGTCTTGCTGTAGCCGACGCCTCGGCTTCATCGTTCGCAGTTTCATAAGATCGAATCCATGCTAGACGTGAGCCAAGTTAGTCAGTCTTTTTCCTTAATCACCTATTGGAAATGCCCGATGCCTATTTACCAGGTAATGTCCGCGGTTTGTTCCCCAGTTCTAAACGATTGTCACCAATATCTGCGATGGCGTTTTCTATAGCTTGCGAGGCACCAGCCGACGCATCTAATGTGCCATCGCGTAGAGGTTCTTCGGAGCGCTTGTCTTTCTGAAGTCCGTTTATAAGACGGGTTGGCGGTTCTAATGACTGTGGGGATTTCTCTGTGATACCGACGTCCAAGGCATGCTCAAGTCTCAGAGGCTGCTGTTGGGAATCGCGCACATCCTGTGCCATTGCCCTCCAAAGCAACGATTATTCCCAGCGAGGATGCGTCGGACTCTCGGAGTTTGCGGGAAGACGATGGATCCAGTCTGCATCGCCTCAACTCCCTGTGGTACAAGGAGGCGCACTACCAAGACCGAGCTACCGGAAATTTTTATTTCTGAAACGAGTGTATTGAAAAGAAAATGGAGGTAGGGAAAAAATCAAGTGCTGCAGGGCTGGAGCCCATTACAACAATAGTGAAGAGGTTGGGGACACAGCCCGACAGGCGTTTGATGTTCCGAGGCGATCAGATCTCAGGTTATTATGAGGACATGACGTCTCATAATAATCCTGCTAGATTAGCAAGTAGCAACAATAATACGGACCACGAGGTATCTACCACCAAGCTCAACAAGGACAAGCCCTCGCTCCAACGATCTCCTTTTGCCACAAACAACAGAAAATATATTCTTGGGATCAATTACAAAGAGCAAAAAGGCATGCTACTTATACAGACACCATTTGATCGGTTGACCTGTCAAGCCAATCGATAATCGTCCCGAGCCCCCTGACTGAGAACAATTCCTCCCGAGCACCAGTGATTTAACACTGTTGCACAACTAATCTACCATCATTCCTCTGGCAATTTCGTCATGCGACTCTTCGTGGTGCCAATCTCGACGCGACGAGCGTTGATCTACTCTCGGCCCCTCAGCAGGGATATCGCCAAGGAGCTCTCGGTACTTGATCGCGTCACGAACAAGGCCGCGGAAACATGGGCTAAATGGGAGGAAGCCGATAAAGGGTGGAAGAAACACCTTGTGACTTGGGGGAATAAGGTCCAGCAGCGCATCCCTTTTGAAGAATGGGGCCTGAAAAGCATCCCTTCTCTCAAGGCTCAGAGGAGATTCGATAAGTCGTCGGAGACGAAGAAAGTCGACGTCCTGTTCCCCGGAAATGCGATCAAAGCAGATAAACTTCGCTCAATTCTCCGGAAAATAGCGACAGAGAGACAAGACCTGCATCGCAAGAGAATGTGGTGGAGTTTGATCGCAGCTCCGTTCACAGCTCCAATTGCGTTGATTCCGGTGTATGCTTTCTGCCTCACAGAGTACGAATGATGATGGCGCTGACTGTTTTGATAGAGTCCCTAATATCCCTTTCTTCTATCTTGCGTACCGAGGCTGGTCGCATTGGCGAGGTCGGCCCATCCATCCTTCAGGCAAAGTCATTTCTTCACTGACACTTCGAAGCCTTCAATGGTTCCAAACATCTAGAATACCTTGTTGAGAAAGATTTACTCAATCCAGTCTCGTTTCCAGGGCTGGAGCAACTATACGCAAAACGCGTAGCCCGCGTGCTCGGGAACAATGACTCCGAGAAGTCCGCTTCAAGCATGGTTGAAGAAGTGGAGCGGAGCGAAGACAGGTTGTTACTCGATATGGCCGACGCTAAGAAACTGGCTTCCATCCTTGATGCGCCGGAGCTCGCACTTGAAGCGGAACGAGCTATCTTCCAAGTTGGCGAAAGTCTCAAGGCCCAACATCAAGCTGCCAGAACCGCTCAAGGATCTGCCACGTCGAAAGAGAAGAAGACGTGAGGGCATATGAATGGAAACGAAGCCGCCACAGAAACATTATGACACGACTCTATAGACTACGGACTTGTACGATCTCCTCTTTTTTGCTAGTTATACTGCACTATTGTATTGAGTGACTATTAGAGTTACATATGGCAATTATGGTGGTACTTTATATCTAGCGGATCTAATCTACCCAAATCCGAAAGCGATGCCGGAAGCGGCCGATATGGGCATTCAGTGCACGTGATCTAATCAACCTGCCACCCACCCTCCCATTCACTCCACCACCAGGTAGATAGACTAGACTGCTGAAGGAATAGGGAGGGTCAAATCGATGAAATGAGTAGATGGGTATCTATGGGAATCTAATCGACTAGGGTTCGATGGAATTCGATCAATCAAGATGGAGGTGGATGCTGTCAATTTCTATGTCTGGCCCAGTCTGGGTTACTCAAAATAGAGCTAAGATACAGAAGTAGCAGTCGCATCATGTGACCAGATCACATGGACTCCTGTCACTACTATGGCCCATGTCAAGGTATTAACAGTGATGGTTAGGGATGGCCTTTTTGGTATAATCCCAGAGATTCTGAGAGGTGAATCAGGTAACTATACATGACAGGGCTTCGCTGTATTCACTATTCTAGATTCCTGTACTCTGTACTTACTTCATAGTACCTCTCTAGGTAATCTAGTTATCATGGTCCATGGATCATATTAACCGGAATTACCATCTATCTTCCATCATCTCCTACCAACTTCCATCATCATTGAGATACCATCTCTCCCATCTATCTAGTATCTGTCTGATCAATAGAAGCGAATCCCTGTTCTTCGGTGTTTAGGCCTGGTGAACTGACTTAGAACTCATATGTGGCTTACCTCAATCTCATACGTTGCTCACTTCACTCTCAATCCGTCAGTGTTGAGTAAGTGCGGTAACTGAGGCAGCATAGCCTTGATCGCACTCATTTCCTGCTCTCTACCTTCGTCTGCGCTCTACCAAGTTTACCTAAACCTGTCTTGGTGTTACCTCTTCTTCATTCGCAAACATGTCCAACGGCCAACCCACGCCTCCGCCTTCCAATACGCGTGAGCTTAGAAGCTCCAATCTGCACAAGATTGCAACACTCTCAACACAAGCAGTGTTCAACGACATAGAACGGAAGATCCCCCAGGTCACGGAGTTTACAGAGCTCGTTTACGAGGACATTCCTCCTGAGGAAGGTGCACTGATCTGTGATTCACTTGCAGATTCGAGTGTGGTTGAGGAAGCCAGCGCAAGGTAAGACCATCTCTAAACAGACATAGGCTGGAATTTTCTGACGTTTGGTGTTTTGTTCCAGAGTTCACTTTAATTCTTTTACTAAGACGCTCTGGGTCAGAATAATGCCTACTGAGTTGCACGATGTGCATCAAAGATGGTGTAATTATGCCAGCCGCAAATGGGATTCCCAGGGACTACTCAATCCAACGGAGAGCAAACTCCTTGACATAGGAACAGGAACTAGTATGTCCTCTGCTCTGTGGTTTAGTGTGACCTAGCGTGCTAATATTTAATTGCAGGGTTCCGTGGGTTCATAGGACAACGATACCTTCATTCATCAAAGGAACCTGATGTGTTCATTCGTCCTGACACCACTCCCATGCCTCGGATCGTGATAGAAAGCGGATGGAGCGAATCCTGGCCGCGATTGCAAGCGGATAAAAATCTATGGCTTAATGGGACCAATGACGTCTGCTTGGTTATGCTACTGAAATGGTCAAAGTTGACTGGAAATCGCGCAAGTGGAACGCTCGAACTCTGGCGCCGCAATGCAGCAGGAGGGCTTATTAGCTGCCAAAAGGTAGCGACCATGTTATCCCCAAACCATGCATGAAACTAACATTAAGAGCCTAGAACATCTTTCCCGTGCCCGTTGCTCCCGGTGCGGACATGATCCACATTACCAAGCTGGACGTGTTCGGTCAACATATGGTCGCCGGTCAAAACCCCAATGCTGTTCTTCCTTTGCAGCTCTCAGACTTACGTGATTTTGCGCGTGAGCGGATGGCGTCGATGGGATTGACACCCGCTTGAAGCTAGATGGTATGATATTGAGGGGTATCCGTCGGTCAAACGAATGAGTGAGGGTATACGATCGAATCAAATGGAATGCCAATGGAAATACACTCTTGTAAGTGGGAGTTCGATAGGGTGCGTTCAATCTAATCATAAGAGCTCTATATCTAAGATACATGCTTGCTCAGTAGGTAAGAAAGGAAGCAGCAGTCTCTTGAATCACGTGATAGGTAACATGATCGCCTGTCAATATCTAGGACAGTCTAGATAGATCTATGTGGGTAGGTTGATTGTAGCCCACATTGAAATGAGAATACCACAGTATCAGTTCTAATATTGTTATCTGAAGCGTACTTCAGCTTAGTAGTATATGACTTTTGTAGTCACCGTTTGGGCTCTCCGCCTTTTTCCCCACTCCTCCTGCTAAAATGGTTGGAAAAAGGGGGACTGAACTTTCGAGTTTCGACTCTACTACTCTACCTACTTACCTTCTGACCTGTCGTCTGGCTATCTGTCATCTATTGTCGCATGTCTCACTTGTCTGCGTCGCCTTCTCTGTTGGTCAGCCTGGTCCTTATTCGGGAACCATGTATCAAGTTCACGGGTTACGGAAATATCGAGCTGTTCCTGGCATTGGAGTGGACGAGAGAGCTTGAAACTGCGGGATACAAAAGCGTTGGAGAGACGTGGGTGCCCGCCCCGGACATAGACCAAGAACTGCATACGCGACGAGCTCTTATGGAACGATGGGCCTCTGCGGACCAGAGCATTCGTGATGTCAGTATTGCTTCTTTCACTTCCGATTCTCAAGGAACAGACTCATCTAGCCTAGGGTTATGTTCTCCGCGCGCAGTCTCAGCCGCGGAGGATGCAGTGTCCCGCAACCCTCCTAGATCAGCACCATCTCCACCGATTCATTTGCACAGCTCCCGTGGACTGAGAAGAGCACCGTACAAACTACGTCCATCTTCTCAAGATCCTAATCTTCTGCTATTTGAGTGCTCAAGAAGTTGGGGAGAATTTGTCACGCCATCCTTTTCATGGCGCAGGATCACACAATCCTCTAGACCCCCAGTTGCCCACACTGTTGTCTCCCCCACTTCCCATTCTGGACTACAGCATCTCCTCTATGCTCCTGGAGCAGGCAGATTTCCGGGCTATCCAGATGAAGCGTGACGGGACCGCGTTCTTGTCCAAGACAGGGATCTGGTCTGTCATCGACCAGTCCGGATTGGACACTGGTCGGATCGCAGTAGTTGACTTCAAACCTAACGGCCAAGTAGCCAACCTCATTCGGCTCCGGCCTTGGCATCTGTCGGAACTGCTCCTGTTGCTTATAGGCTTAGGTTGGCCACTAAGTGCTATAATTAATGAGAATCGATGTCCCCAGGCGAATAATCAGCCATAAGTTAACCTATATACTTCCATCKGTTGTCTCTTCCTGACAATCTATGAGTAGACTGAACATAGATATGCCTCTCCTGGATATCCTGGAAGAGACAAGGCAACGACGGGAATTTGGATGGGCAGAGTGGGGAAGTCAAGAGATCTGGACGCGCGAGATTGACCGGAATGCCCCTGAATATCTGGTGTTGGAGGCCCAAGGGCGAGAGTCGGAATTTAATCTAGAGAGCATCCGATCGGTCTGCGATGATCAATTGGGGTGGCTTCCCATCCCAGGAAAGATCCAAAAGCAACACTGAGAAACATATAACAACATAAGCATAGTAGTGAGCACTAAGTACTATTTTGTTACTATTAGGCAAGCCCGCCCTATTCGGTCTCCCATGTGGTTGATTTAGTGTCAATTGGGTAGAGTTTACCCTCCTTGATATCCCTCACCTAGACTCCGCATAGCCTGGACAAGATAAAGCATATTACTCCGCTAGTTCCCCTCTGGGAGCTATATACCCCTAGTAAGATGATTCATATCATTCCACTACACCATCTACTGTATACGATATACTCAGCACATACTAGCAAGACAAGGGGCACAAGCTATCATATCTGTTTGGCCAGTGACTCTAGGACTGATTAATTTGATCGCAGCGCACATAACCAATGCCAGGCTAGTTAATTTTAGGCAATCCATCATTGGAGCACAACAGCCGCGCTCAACAGAACTGAATATATACTGAGAAAAGCACCCAAACCACCCCAGGTGTTCGTGTTTGGAGTAGCTCTTGCGGCGGAGTTAGAAGTTGATGCAGCTCTCGGGAGGTCTGACTGATGATGCACAAGTGATAACATAGGCAATACTGAAACTGCAACTAGCTGAGAGGTTTCCGACGGACTGATCGTTCGCGTAAATAAGGAAATTACCGGTGTAGCGGCGACTATACTCTCGAGGCGGGTGGAAGTAGTCCCCTCTATAATGACAGTCTTGGTTGATATGCCAGTGTCTGTATGATAAATGTCATACGCGCAGCCCTCTGTGATTTTATAATCAGAGACGGTAGAATAGCATCCGTGTGCGAGGTTCGCGGTCATTGAGCTGAGATGAGGAATTAGCTAACAACATTATCTGGCCGCAGTATTCTAAAGCCTGACTTACTCTGGACAACACATCACGAGAGTCTCACTTGGGTCCAAAAGACCCATTAACAACATAGCTGGATATTCCGACGGAAAAAGTTCTTGCCTCGAAACTGTGGTACTGGAACTTAGGATGCCTGATGCGCTGAGGCTCTTGTTGACATCGCGTACTGCGATTCCTCCTGTAGCCCATCCAGAAGGGCAGTACAGTCCAGGGGAGAAATATTCCTGAGTCTCAAAAGTATATGGATTGTCATTTAAAGTGGTCGGCATGGATACTGTCCCAGTTGGGATGCAGTCGCTGTAGCCCAACGTGGAGCACTGGACTGCATATTCCAAGTTAAGAGTTGTCCTGTTAAGTGCAATCATATAATTTCCCGTAGCAGTAGCGCAACTGGTGGGTGCCGTGAATGTCGTTGTCAAGGGGCCCCAGTTGGTAAAGGTATACCCGTCAGTGGTGGTGATGCTGGGCATTGTTCCTAACCGAGTTCGATCCGAGTGCTAAAACAGTTCTTATGAGGAAGGTTGGAAGATAAGGGGGAAACAACTTGATAGTATTCTGGTTTCTTGTCGTTCAGAAACGAGGGTACGCCCAAATCCCCCAAAAAACATTGACAAACGCGGGGTGGATGTAAAATAAGCGCAAGGAGTGGATGACTTGAGTGTCAAGCCTTGCTGTAGCGTGGTCTTAGCTATAATTAATGACCTCCAACGCAATCAGCTGCGCCGCGACATCTTGCATTAGCTAAACTGTGGTTGGCTGTTGTGCAACTTTTCTTTTCCATCCGATGCCCCCGCTCCAATCTGATGATTGAAGCCATAATTCACCTGATGAATCATCGCAAGGAGCTAGCCCTGATCTCTTGATGACTGCTTATATTGAGACGAGAATGACGATTCTGGTGTCCCTGATTCGCATGTTCGAGAACTTGCTCCACCGCTTCGTATAGTCTTCTGATCTGAACTGGCTCCTCAAGAGTCCTAGCCCATTCTCTCAGTGTCCGGTATACTGCTTCTGCTGAGGTAAGTACCTCGCCGGGGATAGTTCCAGGTATTGTCCGAACACTAACCTCTACAGAGATTATATATAACCTCACTGTCCCGGCCTTGGATCAATATAGAATCCGTGCTAGCATGTTCATTTCTGGTGCTGATCCTTCAGTCTGTGTTCAAGGTTCTTGAATCAAAGATAGTATAATTATGTAAACAGTCAAATAGCTGGTAGATGGTAGGGGAGAAGTAAGTTGAAGTTGATGAATTAAGGGTGCGGAATGGATGAGCCCGCCTCAGTGAAAAGATGGCATAGAGTGAATAGACAGGTAATATGAATGCAGTATTCACAGCAATCTAGATCTTGATTAAGAATTATCATCAAATACCACATGTATTTATGGCCACAGTAGTGAAAGACCCCCTGCTTCCTAGAGGGTTATTCGCTTCTGCTTCTCTATTTGGAGGGCAGAACGCAAAATATATGCTCCAGGTGTATCCCTGGATGAAAGCAAGATCAGTGGCATTGAAGAAAAATCTACCTAGATCACGGATGATAACGCCAGCAGAAATTGTTCTGATATGTTGCGTCTATTCGACTCTGAAATGAATAAGATGTGTGGATGTGTGACATAGACACAAAGCACATGGCTGAGATCCGAGGCTAGATAAGATTGATAAGATGGCCACATTCCCGATTAGTGATCATCCTTTGCTCCAAACATCTGCTCATGCATGAACCTGTGCGGTGAGATAAGGAGCAGGTATTGATATTCCATGTCGCAATAATTGAGGACAGGGCCTCCAAATTTGTGCAGGCTGCCTTTGAATATACAAAGTGCGTGGCGTACATGCCCGCCAAGTCACAGCCGCCTGCTGCGGCCGAGGCCCGAATGGGTTCCAAAATCAAACCAGTGGCTCCTTTATCACGGGCATGGTGAGAAAATAAATTAGTTGCTACTCTCCATGATCTTTGAAGTCAGACCCTGCAAGTCGTAACCAGACCCGGCATTGCTTTAAATTTCAACGTGGTAAGTTTCGCGGAGCTCCAAGCTGGGAAGACGATTAACATCTCCTCGATACAGCCTGTAACCAGAAACATGGCAGAGCCTTGCCATTCAGCGGAGTTCGAAAGGGCAATCAATGTCACGCCGATCGACTCACACACATACTCGGCTTATCTGGACCCCAAGTGGTGCATCTTGAGCGGCAAGTTCAACCTCCCGAGGCATATAGATGGTATCTGTTAACATGCCGGACAGTGCCTCATGGAGGTTACACTACAAGCATTTTCTATCGACTAGCTACGGTCTACTTTAGAGAAACGAAGGGTAACCGGTTCAAAACCACACCAGAACCCATTGGAATGCAGTTGTCGTTCCTCCGACGAACAGTCGTGGGGCCCGCGATCTTGAGAGTAAAGGATGTCAAGATAGGGGCACGGATAAGTACGATCCATGTCACACTGTCTCAGCGACCGGACAGGCCTGGCACAGCTGGTGACAAGGATGACCTCGAAGAGAAGGTCGTCGGGTATATCACCGTCAGCCCCCCGGACATGGAGGAGGGCCCGATCTGCAAAGGCACCTGGGGTCTCTCCCCACCTCCGGCATCCGGCTCCCTAGCAAATGGCTCGGTCAATCTAACAGCGTTGGCAGCGAATGGAACGGACGGCGCGTGGATGCGATTGCCTCGTCCGCCTCCTGCCTTGACCGCACCACAGCATCTAGAGACCTACGCTCCACGCCGCCAAGGACCGATGACGCTCGAAAGTCGGCAGAAGCAAGTTGTCGACCAGTGGGCGAGGTTCATTCCTGGTGGGAAAACAGTAGCGCGCTGGTCTAACGAAGCGGTTATGTTCTTGGCTGATATGTTTCCCGCGGCACTTGACCGCATGGGTGCAATGGAAACAAGCCGGCTTCTTGCCATGGAGGGCGTCCAGGGGGGCCAGCTTAAAGGAAACGCCGAGGATAAAGGGACATTTTGGTATCCCACTGTGACATTAAACATTGATCTGAAGACCAGGATTCCTCCTGAAGGCGTGGAATGGCTACATTCGCGCGTGGTTACCAGGATGCTTCGTGGTAGCCGCGCGGACTTGGACGTAGTCATTCTCGATCCACAAGGCGAGCTGATAGCTCTTAGCTCGCAAGTGGCACTTGTGGTGAATGCCTCTCGGAACACAAAAGGAAGGACTAATTCTGAGAAGTTATAGACTGTCAGAGTAGAAGTATTAGACAAATAGATTGGGAGCTTCAAAAGGCATATTCAAGCGCAAGTTGTTCAGAAGCGAGGTATAGAAAAGACCTAGAATGTATTCAAGTTGATGTAGCTAGCATGGCACTGACACAGAAGTTATTCAAATGACCGAGTTGATCACAAGGGGCACCTGCTTGGCTGTTCGTTAAAGCGTCAGGTTCAAGAGCCCTGTCCAACAGACTGCGTACAATTTCAGCGGCTAAAAAAGTGTATCATGGTGACTATTTGTCCATTTTTACCATCATCCGCGAAAGGCAAATATCTATCAGATGAAATTGTTGAAGGTCGGACCGAGAGAATCTGATCCAGACCTTGCAGACGGAGCCTGCTTGATGATGCATGCTAATAGGCGGATCGTGGATCATCTCTGCGTAAATAATGGGCGGTGCGTCAATCAATCAAAAGTTGGTCTGTGCGCAAACGCGAGAATCCGCGTCCTGCAGCCTAGACAGCGGAACACCCGCGTCAAAAGGGAACAGGCAGGCCTTGCATTGCGTCAGGCATTCCTGCGCAAGAACTGACCCTTTTTTGTCTTTGTCTCTCACATCTTGGATTATTTAATATTGGGGCAACCATACCTCTGGCAGAGCAAAGGAAGATAAAGGTTGTTATCGCAAGACTGGTGCTATAACGCCACTTTGATACCATTTGAGCTTTATAAAGCAAAAAAAAAAAAAATCAAAGCAACTCATTGGGATCGGACAGAGAAGAAGGACATGTCTGGTGCAGTTACTCCGGTCAACTCCCACCGATACATACGAAGATAGCCCCTGAACGCAAAACTCTACGCAGCGTTCTTTCTCCGTACCGACTAACGAATATGGTCGATCAAAAATTGAATCCAGCCATGGATGAGCTGGAGCAGGGTAGTCCTATGTCCGGGGTTGAAAATGGAAATGGGGAGCACGTGGAGGATGTTGAGGAGATAGATGCCAAATCGAAAGCTCTGATGCACCTTTTGAATACAAGTGAGGTATGTTTTTCCTTATCTTATGCTTAAATGTCACCTTGGTTTTGCCCTAATATTATGCTATTTACTATGGGATGAAGCACTGACTGTTGGGCCACTATCGTAGGTCTTCGTGGCGATCATGGCAGATAAGATGAAGAAGCAGCAGGAAGAGGCTCGGCTTGAAGCGGCAAGGCAGCAGCAGCAGCAGCAGCAGCAACAAAAGCCAACAGAAGACCAAAAAAAGACAACTTCAGTTGGGAGACGAGAAACGCGCGCGAGAGCGAAGCAGCCTTCCGCAGATGAGACAACACCTGCTGTGAGCGAGCAACCAGATGATAAGACAGCCACAAGGTCGAGAAGAGGCAGAGGCAAGAAGGGTACTTCTGCGACGAACGGTAACAGCATTGCAAGTTATTTTAAGAAAGCGGATGTGGAAGACCCCGAAGACAAGCCGACGGTGCAGGAAGCCTTGGAACATGCTGCGGACGAGTATGAGGCCAACCCCAGCGCTCTAGGCGGGCAGGACCTTGTCGCCACTCAGCAACCGGAGCTTGTTACTGGAGGAAGAATGCGCAAGTACCAATTGGAGGGACTGGAGTGGCTCAAGTCACTTTGGATGAATGGCTTGTGTGGAATTCTGGCCGACGAGATGGGTCTTGGAAAAACAATCCAGGCAATCTCTTTGATTGCTTTCTTCAAGGAGAAGAACGTCTCCGGACCTTTTATGATTGCGGCTCCGTTGAGCACTGTCAGCAACTGGGTAGATGAGTTCGCGAGATGGACTCCAAGCATCAAGACGGTCTTGTACCATGGCTCCAAAGACGAACGTGCTACGATTCGCAGGAACTTGATGAAGCTGAAGGACCAGAAGAGTGCAGACTTTCCGGTCGTTTGCACATCCTATGAGATCTGTATGAACGATCGAAAGTTTCTCGCGCAATACCAATGGCGATATATCATTGTTGTAAGTTCTGCGCAACTATCCGCATGGAAGGGGAGTGCATCTCTAACCTGAGACAGGACGAAGGTCATCGTCTGAAGAATATGAACTGCAAGCTCATTAAGGAGCTTCTCTCGTACAACTCTGCAAACCGCCTGCTGATCACTGGTACACCACTACAGAACAACATTACCGAGCTGTGGTCACTGTTGCACTTTCTGCTACCGGAGATTTTCAATGACCTCAACAGTTTCCAGAGCTGGTTCGACTTTTCCTCAATGCTCGATAGCAATGGGCAGATGGATGTCATAGAACGTCGGAAACKCACACTTGTCTCCACCATGCATTCAATCCTGAAGCCCTTCCTTCTGCGGCGGGTTAAGACTGATGTCGAGACTGCCTTACCCAAGAAACGTGAATACATTCTCTATGCCCCTCTCACAGCGGAGCAAAAGGATTTGTACCGTGAGATTCTCAATGGCACGGGCCGTCAATATCTCGAGGATAAAGCCGCAGAACGACTCTTGGCCAAGAATGAGAGGCTGTCCCGTTCGGCGAGCCTAAAACGCAGTGCCGACAGTAGTAATTCTTCGACCCCCAACAAGAGCCTCAAATCCAGCAGAGATTCGACTCCAGCCAGTGTGGCTAGTTCAACCCGCAGGCGTAAAGCCCCTCAAACTTACAAAGAGTTGAGTGACCGCGAATTTAATGCGCAACTACGCCGCCTTGAGCAGGGCTTGGAAGACGATTTGGATATACAACAGAGCCCTATTGATACTGAGCAAGAGGAAATCGAAAGAGCAAATACTATCAAGCTGGCTAGTACGTATATGGCTGTCTCGAACTCAACTGGCTACTGGCTGGTGCTAACGAACCTATGCAGAGAAAGAAATTGCTCAGAAGAAACTGCAGAATCCGGTCATGCAAGCCCGTCTTGCCTGTAACTCTCCGCATAATTTCTACTGGCCGTGGAGCGACGACCCGACCGCCATCGACGAGACTCTTGTCACCGCATCGGGCAAAATGCTCCTTCTCGACCGCCTCGTGCCTTGTCTCTTGAAGAAGGGGCACAAGATCCTCATATTCTCCCAGTTCAAAACACAGCTCGACATTCTTCAAGATTGGGCCACCCAGCTTCGCGGCTGGAACTGTTGCCGCATTGACGGTGCCATCAGTCAGACAGACCGTCAAACCCAAATCAAAGCCTTCAACTCGGACCCGGGCTACAAGATCTTCCTGCTAAGCACCCGAGCAGGAGGCCAGGGCATTAACCTTGTCGCTGCCGACACGGTAATCCTCTACGACTCAGACTGGAACCCCCAGCAAGATCTCCAAGCACAAGACCGCGCGCACAGAATTGGCCAGACAAAACCCGTCATCGTCTACAGACTCGCAACCAAAGGAACCGTCGAACAGACTCTCCTCGAGAAAGCGGACTCAAAGCGCCGTCTCGAACGCCTCGTCATCCAAAAGGGGAAGTTCAGAAGTCTCCTGGACTCGAGCTCGGTGAGTCACAACGACGTAGAAGAGCTCAAGAAGGCTCTCGGCGAAGACGAATTCGAGCGCTTCGAGACGGGTGCTGACCCCTCCGCTCTCCTCTCGCAAAAGGATCTGGACATTTTGACCGATCGGAGCGAGGAGGCGTATGTGCGTGCCGAGAAGGGCCTGGATCAGATTGGGCGTGCGTTCAAGGCTGTCGAGACGAAGAAAGAGGGAAACTCCCTCATGGCTCAAATTACTGGGAAATAGATTTTTCTGGATAATTGTTTGGTGTTTGGGATGCAATCTGTTCCCTGCCCACATTTGCGGCGTTATGACAGATGGATACGTCTAGGCGTTGGCGTTGGTGAAAAGGATATGATTTGATGTACAACAATTAGAAACCAGGTCCTAATACTTGCTGGACAGGACTTGGCCCAGCCCTACATCGCGAAGATAATATAAGAGAACCATCCATTTAGCGCCTATGCTCCTCGCCAAGAGAATGGCTGTACATGAATTGGCCACAAAGCAAAAATAACTCCCGGCAAGCATGCAAAGAGAGGAAGTCAGGTACTAAGCGGCAGTAGGGAAAAAAACGACCGGAAAGGCTATTACCGCTGCGCCCTTTCCTCCTCAATCTGACTCCTTAAATCAGCAAGGACTTCTTTTCGCTGCGCGAGATGGCTCTTCAACCCCTCAACTTGATCCCCGACGGTCCTGATGTCCTCCCGTAACCGCTCCAGATCCTGACCCGCCTTCGCTCTGCCCGTGCCTTCTCGCAGCTCCCGGAGCTCACGCTCTTTGTATTCCAGAAGCTGAAGAGCCTCCTTCTTAATGAGGGTCCAGTTAGGCCGCCCGTCGTTCCGGGGCCGATCCCTGCGCCCTTCGGAGGCATTATTGGCAGCATCAAGCTTGGCCTGCAGCTCCCCGAGCTCGCGCCGCAGACGCACCTTCTCCCATTCTTCGTCCTGGATTGTGTCGCTGAAGTCCGTGCCCTTGGGCGTGTAGGAGCCCTTTCCGCCCACACCTAAGCGGCTCAGATACGTGTCGCCGAACTTGGCTTTGCGCCCTGTTGGGGTCTCCGTGCCCCCGTCTGCACCCCACCTTTGTGCGGGGCGCGCGTTGTCGATTTGGTAGTCGATCTTGTTGTTCTCAAAGGAAGCGCGGAGCGAGGCGGGGATGGTGCGCGGGATGCGGAAGCCCTCGTGCCGGTAGTTGAGGATGTGCAGGAAGGCAAGGGTGGCGTCTTTGTTGATTGCGGGGGAGGCAGAGGGGTTGACTAGGTTCCATGCGGAGCGAATATCGGTATCTGGGACGTCAAGGGAATCGTACAAGCCTTGTAGTGAATCAACTGTAACCAGCATTAGCCGTGAATGGATGATACGGGGTGAATGCGACTAGGCCAGCGAGACGGTGAGGTGTACGTACATGTGATCTCGCCACGGTTGCTACGGTTGGCGGAATAGATCTCTTCGTATTTAGATTTGTCAGAGGGTTTCATGTACCAGTCGAAGCCGTCTTTCAAGCCTGGTGTATCGTCTTCATCTTCTATGCGCTCAAATTGCTCTGGGCGATCGCTCAGCGCACGGCCAGCTTGGACGAGGTGGGCTTTGGTCTCGGGAACGAGCCAGTCGGGCAATACTCGAGGGACATCTTGTAATTCCTGTCCAGTGAGCCCAGTTAGTGGATGATCACTGTTCGCACTGCGCATGACAGTTCACAACACAGCGCAACGAAGCTCAGTATCAGTAACTTACCCCATTGACAAGGTCGAAGACTAATCGCATAGCAACGCAGAACTCCTCAAAGTCCAGCTCTCCATCGCCGTCAACGTCCGCCAAATCCCATACTTTCTCAAGCTGATTATCGCTAAGCCGACTGTTCCTGAGCACTGAGGCCGCTTGGGAGCTATTTAGACGCGGCTGGCCATTTGCCAATGAGGAGAAGATCTCCCAGTACCGCTCAATTTCCCACTGTTCAATCTTCTTGTTGTTTGACATGGTGGAAGTACGAAGCCGCCTCAACTGTAAATATTACAATTGAATATCTCCGGAATCCGGATATTAGGAACCTTGTACGGAGTATTGGAGGTGTGATGATGATAAGACCCCGTTACCCATTTCGGGCATCCCGCAGTGGCTCCGATGGGGCATCCGGGACAACTTGATTCCGTCAGGGGAAAGGTACGCTACGTAGTTCCGGGGCACGTGATGCTATACGAAGCAGTATAATCACGTGACATATTTTCCCCTAGGAAGGAGACACTGTTGTACTTGGACAGGCAATCCTATACTGTAACTATGGTCTTCTACGCCAGAAGATCGGCAACCATATATGGGGAGAGTTTGGTAGATATCTTATTAGATCTAGCTGAAGTAGTATGGTCTATTGCAGATGGGAAATAGTACATAGCTCCGCAGATCTATCCCTGAGTGGCTGCCCTCCTTACTGGTCCCATGGCTGGTACCAAAATCATCTCGTCCTCTTCTTCCTCGGCTTCCGCATCTTCCCAGTCATCATCACTTTTCTCACTGGGATTGTCTTCCAGGAATTCGAAAGTGTTGGTGACCGTGGTCAGTGGTGTCGTGGGTGAGTATGGTGCTGCAGGATCCGAAGAAGTTTCCCAGCAGCTACTTCCTGGGCTGTCGAACGCAGGGTTTGTTCCTGGAGTTCTTGCTTCGCTGAATGGTGCGAGGGCATCTTCTCCGCTCTGGACATATTCAACACTCATAGGTGACATAAGTCTACCAGGCGTTGTTGGCCGTGAAGGAAGGTGGACATCTGTGAGGTTGATACATGGTATGGCCTCTGGGAACTCCGAATGACGATCAGTGTGTACATCCGAGTCCAAGGTTTCCACGAGCTCGCTTGCGTCTGGGCCAAATGTGGCCTGTTGCAACTCTCGCTGGAACTTCGTCCAACAGGAAATCAACGATGTATCTTCGAGCTCAAGTAAGCCTCGCTGCCAATCCTCGTTGATCGCATTGCGTAGCGACTGCGTGAAATCATCGAGAGCGGAATGACTTGAATTTGCGGCCGAGATTGTTGTGCCGCCAGCTCTTCCGTCAAATTCTTCAGGTCTCGAGGATGCTTTATAAATAACATCGAGAGGTGGTAAGGACCGTACCAATCTTCGTGGATGAACAGACTGCTTCCATGCTTGGAAAAACTTAGCTCTTGGTTGGCCGAGTTTTAAGCGGACGATCAGTCGTCGGGTATGTTCTTCACGATGATAAAGTTTGCGAGGAGGCAGATCTATTTCCTGGTACTGTACCGGAGCTCCTTCAATATCTTCAGTCGTGGGAATAATGCGATGGGGAGGAGTAGCCGGATGAGGCCTACTAGAATCAGCGAAATCGTGTCTGTGGTTATCTATGGTGATTGAACCAACCCCCAACGGAGTCACTGGCCCAGAGGCCATCGGATCTCCCTGGATCTCCCTTCTCTCGGCATCAGATGCATCTTGAGCCGTCGGCATAGTCACGATACTGCCACTCCATTCCCCGGCATAATGTATTTCGATCCCACGCCTTTGCAAGAATCGCCTGGCATTCAGGAGTTCCCCAACCTCACAAAGCAGATAGTCTGTTTCTATGTTGCTTTTGAGCCTCTGTGTGGTCTTGCGGGAAATCTTGCGAAAGACCAGCTTGTGTGGTGTCCTGTTGCGACTCGCCGAGCTGTTATCGATTCTGAGGAGTGCTCTGAGTTGCTTTGCCCTCATCGCATGCAGCGCCGAGTCTTCCATCGCTACGTGATGATCACGGCGTCTGATGAGTTCCTGTAACTCCTCGCGTTCTCTTTCCCCCAAGCCAAGCCTGCTATAGATTGTGGGCCATCTGTAGTTTTGGCTGAGGTTGATGGCGATCTCTGCTTGCAAGCTCGGAGAAAGGTCAGACCATTTGGGATCATGAATGAAACTGATGGACTTGGGAAGAGTCAGTACAGGAATAAGCTGTATTCTCTAGTAAGAAGCATACCTCTGCGGGACGGCCGTCTATGTCTGTCATCGGCTCATCAGGATCGCTATCTTCCATGTCCATATCAGAAGAAGACGACGTTTCTGCAGTTGCCATGATTTCCATGTTTTTGACATAGATAGGATTGAGTTCCCCGTTGCTCGCGATGAGATCCTCAAGCTTATCGATTGAGATATCTTCAAGTCTCTCCCATGTCTCTTTCTCTTCCGTATCCCTCCCGTGAAACTCAATCGAGCTGGCGTCGCGTTGCACCGCTTTAGCTATGCTATTATGCTCAGCTCCCGCCCGATCCTGTTCACCGGGCCTCAATTGGGAGAGATTAGCCGGTTCGAGCGTGGGAAATGCAGCAGGAGGTAGGTTTGAATTGTAATCGATAAAGCGAGGGTTCCTCGGATTTCTAGGTTCGCGCAAAGTCTTCTTTGGTGATGGTGTAATGATTAGCTCGGAGTTGAAGCGCTCAGGTGGCCGGATCCTCTCGCGGAGTCTCATGGTGAGCTCAATTCTAGAGACACAGCTAGATGGTGTTTGGCACTGGACGCCCATTGACGACTTAGCAAGGTTATGAAATGAGGTCGTCAGCATGGAAACCAGACCAGTATGCTCCCTAGGTGGACCAGCCCTTGTCTCTGTGCAGAAGCTGAAGAAGGCTGCCTTTCCAGGTTTGAAGCCGTCAGAGGACGTGTTGTACAGCGGATATGAGGATGAAAAGAAAAGAAAAGGAAAGATAACAGAACTGGATCTGTATTTTCTTGGATAAGATGACAACGATGATCCCTTTGTAAAGGGTTGAATTGTAGCTATTTAGCAAAAGGATCTTTCAGGATAATAGCAGAATGCTAACGCTGTGCATCACACGAGTAAGTGATGTTTGGGTATCTCCGAATTGGGAAACACAGAAAAGAGTCACCAGAAAGAGGAACAAGGAAAACAACTCATGCCGAGACGTCAACTAAGCATTCACCTCTGAGAAGCGCAGTTCCCGTGTTGCAAGACAGATCATTCACGCTAATCAATTTGAACGATCTTGGAATGGTGCAAGAGGCTTTCTACTATCAATCGAACCATCATCCATAATATTCATATTCACGTCCATGTCCATTCCCACTGAATCATCATCCGTAGTTGTAGGCTCATCAAGTCGATCAGCAATGCTTCTTTTTCTAGACACGGTCGCTTGAGGGATTCCTAGAGTCGAGTTCGACGTAGACGATTGTATGGCCTTCTGCACATCCCGTTTGGCATCAAGGATAGACTGGAAGGACGCGAGGAGCTCCCTCAGTGGTTCTTCAATGCAGATACAGAATCTTCGAAGCTGGACGAGATGTGATGCGACTGCCATGTTCAGGTTGAGCATGACCATCAGATACGCTATGACGACCGTGGCCGAGCGCTCGTTGCCAGACTCACAGAAGACAAGGATCTTCTTTCCTGGTGCTCTAGAGCCAGCAGCAGCCCCGGAGGACACGAGATGATCGTTGATGCGGCGTATAGCATAAGGAAATGCCGAGATGAGTTCCTGGTTGTCCATGACATCGACAGCGTCTGCTTCAACTCCCAGCTCCGCACCAACTTTTTCACCAGAAACCAGGCGCGCCTGTGCTGAGCGCTTGTTGCGTATCGCCAGTAGCAACGTGAAACCCTCTTGGGCGAGCCAGGCTTTGTCTTTCAAACAGGACACAGGGCCCAAGTAGAGAAATGGCAGGATTGCTTGCGCCTGTCTTCGCATCATGTACTCCCAGTCTGGCGCCACGACACGATGCACAAAATTCTCCGGACTGACCATCCGGAAGAATCCCGGACTAACAAACTCCCCTTCCTTGAAATCATGAGATGAAGGGCTGATGACTTCCTGAAGAGAGTTGTCCTCATCATAGAATGAAGGTACAGACGTTGTCAGACGACTCTTTGCGCTTCCAGAGATGTATTCATGAGTTCGAACATAATGCGAACCCTCCTGCTCCGACATCGAAGCCTCATTGCAACGAGCCGGAGTCATTATTGCAGAACAGTCTTTCAAGCTTAACTGAGAAGATTTGACGATGGGGTTGCAGATAACTAGAATCTGCTGCCAAAGGAAATATCGCGATAGCTTCTTCTCCTTGTATGGTTTTTAGGAAGCGATGAGAGATTTCATTACTGAGAGTAGATAATGTGAAGGTCATTCAGGGGCAGTAAAAAGTGATCAAACACTGAGTGAGTGAATGTGTGAAGATATGAGGAGCGAGTAGCAATGTCACTACTTGACTTGATCTTTCCCAACATTTTCCTCTTGCCATCAGACTTGCCTCAAGTCATACCTGAGTTTCCAGGCACCACAGCAGGGTCTCCCAGGGTCAGCATCAAAAGCACCCAAAAAGCAGTCGTTGCCTGGGCTGAGTGCCTGATGACTCAGCAATGGCACAGGAATGACCAACTAGTTGTATCTACATGACAGCCACACTCCTTCTGAAATGCATATGAAAGTCGAGCAAGACAGTCAGACAACGGATTTCTCTGAAGAGATTCTTGCCTAGTGATCTGGGTCATTCGTTAATAGATTCTTGATGTCCAGGGACTTTTGACCGTAAGATGGAAACTTGGAGTGTGTGCTCCATCGCAAAAGCGCCTGTTTTAGGCACCGCCTGCGAAATCTACCATGTCATTTCCATTCAGGCATAATCCCAACGTCGTTCAGTTACATGTGATCAGAGCAAGCATGGCAATAAATGGAGAGGAGCTTTTTCCATGAGCCTCATTCACCGAACGGACGGGACATCAGGTCAATTTCACACCTTCTCGCTTACTCGATGTACGAAGCCACTCGTGTCATGGAAATGGATAATAAGGCCACCGGGAACTCAAAGATTCTCAGAGTGTAGACTCTGCGCCGTATGATTAGTCTTCGGTTCATGAAGTTCGTACAACGCAGAGGCCCATGCTAACACCGAATATGGTGAACATACCAGATCCAGGAACGCCCTAACTCGAACACGCGTAGATTCATAGCTAAGTAGACTTATGACTCTCCAATTTACCTCTGAATC